GACTCCAAAACAAAATGGCGGTCGTCGGGGAGAAGACCCTGGTAAAGGCTGTTCTATCACTCGTTTTGATTGGTCCCTGAAAAAATTCTTTACGAGCACTTTGATTGGTCGAAATTTTATAGTACAAGATGGCGGACTTYTTATCTGTATTTCGTCTTGTTCYTCGGTAAATCGTTTCATCCTAAAAAAAGTCGTGTTAATTATGATTTAAAAAGAAAGAGCAATGACCCAACAGCTTCTACTGATATCCTAAATGGCGCATACAAGGTTTGAATGATTGGTACAGCTTAGTTCGATGTTAAAAACCGCCATGAAACAAAGTTGGTTCGAAAGATTTTTTTTTATTCACAAATATGACCTGGAAGCTACACATAATACCCCACATAATACATAATAAAATCATCATAGTACAGGGTGCAAAAATACAACGCAAGGAAGTTATGAAAAACTTAATTGCACACGATTAGTCTTCAAACGGAATAAAAGAAAGAACTTGAACATGAAGTTTACATACGAGGGTTTTAAGTCTGTTGCCTTAATAATTCTATGAATATGAGAGTAATAAACTATAGTGGTATATTTATTGTAATAAATTACGGTAATATTKTAAATAAATAAAGTATTGAAGTAATAAATTGTTGTTGGTGGTGTTAAAAAACCTCCAAGAAAGATACGTCTTGGGTAGCAATAGTTAAACGTGTTCATAAACAGTTAAGCTACGGGTCACTTGATAGACAATGAACAACTCCGAATCTCAGTACCCAAGCAGTCAAAACTATAAGAAGTAGCAGTAGCAGTAGAAAGTGAAACCATATAAGAGTCCCGGAGTAAGTTTACATCACTTTTGTTTCTAAGCGACTCAAAATATGGCTAAAAAACGGTTGTTGGTGAACTTTCGCACAAATTGCAGCTTTCATACTTCAAGCAGTCAAAAAACTTTCTTGTAATCTAAAACGGGAGCAACATACACACGAAGAAAGGCCTTTCTTCCCACATTTACACGATTTGAAATACTAGTTTGCCCGCAATTTTGAAACGAAAACCACGTGATCAAATACTCCAAAAATCTTGGAGTATTTTAGGTCACGTGACCAGCATTTACCAGGGTCTTCTCCCCGACGACCGCCATTTTGTTTTGGAGTCGGGCCGAGAGGGCCTGGGAACGAGGTTGTTGCTGACTTTTTCAACATCCACAAGAAATCCGCCATTTTGTTCGTTACCAGTCCTTTCAAGCTTTCAAGTACACTT